GAAAAGGCTCCCCCTCTGCCTTCCCATCAGAGCCAGTGATGCCCATGCCCTCTAACCACCTCCCATTTGAGTCTGCATCCCCCCTGCCTGCCCAGGGTATTCCCCAGCCTCAGGCACTTGACCGAGCTTGCATCCAGACTGAAACCAGGACCCAGGAAGCCTGGCTGCTTCTCATGCTAGAGGCAGTATGGCTATGAGCACAGTGACCCAGCACTGGCTGGGCTCTCAAACTTGGCTGTGGCCACTTTCTTTTAAAACTCAGAATGAGTAACTAATTTGATAGTGGCAACACCGTCTGCTTCTCATATCACAGTCTAGTAATTAGCATGCTCTTGAAAGGAAGCAGAAGATACGTATTCGTCAGTTCAAACCCATGTTTCTCACCTCCTCAGAAAGTGCCTTAACCACAGGGCTTTGGATAGGGGACTCCCCTCTTATCCTACTGAAATCATGCAACAAAAAATCAGGCTTACAACCTAAAAGGGCTGAATATTCAGCCCAGTGATTAGGACACATGGCTGAAAGAGATGAATCCTTTATCTGACGACTTTTCATATGTTTTAGGCAGTAAGTGGAGGAGGATAATATGAATTTGGATCTTGTCAGGAAGAATCTGAATGTGACCTCCCACCTCCTACCAGAACACAAAATATGCAAAAGAGGATCCATTTTAAAGGGAGAGCAAGACACACACTCCTCTCTAAAACAGTGCTACCTCCGTGCTGGAACACACTTGCTTTCCACAGAAATAGGTAAAGACATCTCTACTCAGGAGATGGCTGGTGCTTCAGAAACACCCATATCCTCAGGGTATTTCTGTTTCCTGGGTCTAGGGTTTCCCCCTTCAGCATCTGGGTATTCCTACAGGAAAAAGGGAGCCTCAGGCTTATGTGTCCCAAGGCACTTTAAAGGCACATACAACTGGTGTGGCGAAGACAGGGCACAGTTAGGTTGAATAATTTGTTACCTAAAAATGCTTCTGACAGATGGCAAGGCTGTTCTGGAATACTGTGAACATAACAGATTTTGGGACAGGGTGCTGAAGAGAACTGATTTTAGTGAAAAGTTGGATTTTTATCAAAATGACCTTTTTACTCTAAATGCCTGCTTTGCATAGAAAATCGCAAAGAAATATCCCAAATTTGATAAGAAATTGTTCATCCCAGCAATTTACTGGAGTTAGGGCTTGGTTGTCCTTTTGCTTCATGGACAATTTGCTGCCACTGGATTCCATGTCCAACATCCATCATTGCCAGATGTTCCCATGATGTATCACAACAGCACAGGACAACGGAAAACCATCATGCGCGTTTAAAAGAGCCGTGAGTTCAAGGAAGACGATGGGTCATTTGCCTTGAAGATTTTCAAGTTCCTTAATTTGATGTGGAAAACAGTTGCTTTTACCTTGTTTCCTCACCACCCTCCTTCAAAATCCCCCAAGAAATAAAATATACTAAATCCATTCTTGTTACCAAGACATTTTCAGGCTAAAGAAATGAGGGTTAGTTGCTGGCACTATGTGTCCATTTGTCTGCCCAAAGATCAGTTCTGCATCCATTCCCTTCTTGTCTCCTCAATGCCTTCAGAAACTACCCGACAGACAGAGAAGGGGAAGGAACTGTGAGTGCTGGGTGGGAAGAGTAGATATAAAAATCCTTGGTTCTGTTTTGATACTTTGCAACAAAGTACAGATCTACATGGCAGATCAGCAAGTCTCAGATTTTAGAGGAAACACTGCCAAAAGATGGTGTTTCTTTTCCTTTAAAAAAGAAGTTGAAACCGTTTATTACTAGGTGTTGTATCGCATCTGAAACTTTCAGTTTCAGTACTTACTTGTGTCATGTATATACCAAGTGGAGAAGGATCTTACTAAAACCTTCCAGGATGAAAACCTTCATGCTAGCCAGTCTAGACATTTTCTAGAAAATACAAAAGTGAGATTAAATGGTGCTGCTATTCTGACTCAAATGAACAGGACAATAATTAAAAGAAAAACAACCTCTTGAACAAAACCAGGAAAACATTAGCTAAAACCAAGCTTAGTTTGAGATGCTGGAATACTACAATACAGATTTTTGAGGTAAATCCATTAAAATTCCAAGCACTTTTAAAAGCATGCTTAAATCATGTATTAAAGTGCATATTTGTCTTGTGATCATGTAGAAACTTTTTTTTCAAGTAAGAACCTAATTTAGCTTCCTAAATTAGGGTGGAAGCCAGTCCACTGGCTTCTCCTTGCTATTTAGCTGTGTATCTATCTACTACGCTAAGATCTTACTTAATTTTTAATGTCTACTTAGTCCCTTAGCTTACTTTGGACTCCTTTTCTAAAAGGTTTCACTTGAGTGAGATGAAAATCACTCATTTCTGACACCATAGCATAGCTAAGAAGAAGAACCATAGGACATGTGGCACAGCCTTAGGGAGTTACATCTGTCTGCCCAAGAAAAGGTTGTTTTGTTGTTTTTTTTTTATGGGCTTTTAATATATATTTATTTTTTCCCAATTCCTGGTAATTCTCCTCGCTTAGTTTCCACATACATATTCCACAGAAGAGGTAAAGGTTACCAATGTATTAATATTACTTCTGTACAATGCTCTATGTTTTCAATTAGGCTCACTCCCACAGTGATTTCCATATCTAGCTACTTGCTCTTCTTATTTCTTGATAAGTGATGGCCCCTATCAGGAAGTCGGGGGTGAGTCTGTTACTGCTCTGAGTAAACAACCTAAAGGTCATTTTAGATGTTGGCTTTGACACTGTTGGTTCAATAGCCACCCACCATAGCTGTAACCAGTAAGCTGAAGTTAACCTCAAGGAAAGGCCTTTCAGTGGGTCCTGTTATCTCTTCAACAGAACAACCCCAGTGGGCACTTAATGGTGAAATGAAGAAAATCCTATGAAATTCCCCTCACAGACACCTGACAGAGGCATTTCATCTGACATGAAGATCTAAGTGCTAAGAACGGTGTCCACATGGGTGCCACAGTTCTCCTAGCCAGTACTCAAGGACCTTTTTAATGAGATTTCCCATAGCAGAAATGAAAGTGGCAGAAGACACTCCAGCTACATGTACACAACTGACTTTTGCAGGCATGACTATGTAACCTAGAATGTGAAGGGGTAAGACTGGTGGCTGATACTGGACACCCACTTTGGGTGTCCACACACAGAACACCGTTGCCCAACTTAGACTTTGGCAAGTATTGTTTCTTTCCTTCTGCTCCCACAAGATTAATTAGTAGGAAGCACAGCTTTGCCAAAGTAGATGCATCCACTGCTGGAGTGTGTTGCCAGTACAAACCATCAGTGTGCTTCTGTAAGTAAAAGATCATTATACTACTGACATGCCCGGCCACCTTCTCCCACATGCATCTTCATCATGAAAGCAGGAAGACAGACAGGTTCAAAGATACTATCATCCTGCAAAAGGGGAAGAGTTGCATGACTAGATCTAAGATCCAGAGCAAAGGCCAAAGCACTCACAGGGATGATACAGCAAATATGCCTTGCATTAACCCCTCTACAGACTGAACTATGTGTATTCCGTGAGGAGGACCACCACCCAAGACAGAATCCAAAGTACATAACAAAATGACCACTGAAGACCTTTCAGGAAACTCTACAAAAGCAAAGGACATTTTCTTCTCAAAATTAGGTACTTCAGGGTCCTAGGCTCTTGTTTTAGGCATTTGAAGATGATCAAAGAGGATGGAAGAGACAACTCTCACTGAAATGGCATGTAAAAAGTTACTGTGGATTCAGGCCCCTAGGACTCTATACTGATACTGCCTGGTGCTTCATCTCTCTCCCCTCACACCAGTGTGCCACTAAGTGTAACAACTTAGTGGCAGGGCATCTCAGACACTCTTCATTCTCCCCAGCCTGAACACAGTACCTCCAGTAGCTGAGGCACTGTTGGGTCTTGTAGTGTCACATCATACACCCTGCCAGTACACACTGTATCTACTTTACAAAAATGGATAAGGCACAGCACAACCCAACCCTCCTTGTTCAGCTAGAGAGATAGTCTGAGTGTCTTCTATACAACAGTGTTGATTGTTGGTAAAAAAGTGATTTACGCACGTGAGGGGGCAGGTTGTACTGATAAACTATCTATCTCCACCTTCCTGTTGAGAGAGGTACATGCTAATACATACGTTCTTAAATTTCTACACAAAGCGCACCTTGTGTCTTTTGTCTTTGTCTCTTTTCTGTGTAGCTAACAAAAAGAAAGAAAAAACCAACAGACCCCTGAAGAACAGCTAAGGGAAGACAGCAAAAATATGTACATACTTCAAAGATGCTGCTGCCTTCTAAGAGCCAGACACCCAGGGGCTTCAAGATACACACATGGCAGTAGCTACCAGAACATCCTGTTCTTCTTTTCCACCACAATTTGTGGGATCCAGCTATATCCATTGTGACCTCTGGCGTTTCTCTCAGATACTCATTCAGAGTGGCATTATCATGCGGGTGCTAATAGATAAAAACCACTTGAGACCGTATCCCATCGCTCTTTTTCCTTCTCTCCCTCTACTCCACAGCAAACAGAGCTCAAGGCTTCAAAGACCTCTGCAAAAGCAGTCAAGCTCAACTTCCACACAGCCCTATATGGTATTGTATAGGCACTGTCATAGCTATTTTCTCCAGACACGGGGCTTCATTTTCCAGTACATATTTTTCACTTTGCGCTAAACAGACAACAGAGTGCGAAAACTCCCATTTTTGGGTTTGACATTATCGTACATACAAGAAAACCATCTGCAGTTTTGAGCTTCAGCTTCTCCTCCAAGTTGGGATCTTTCAGTTACTTTTCCCAATGCGTTTTCCAGCCCAGACACTAATTCAGTCGATTCCCTGCTCCAGCTGCTCTCCTGCTCTGCAAGCAATGTCTGCTTTCTAACATGATGCAGGAGTCACTAAACAGCACCCGAGAGAGTGCTTATAATCCCAGGATGCCATATTACAAAGCAGGATCCTCGAATCCAGTACTTACCCAAACGGGACAAGCGCATGACAGTTGCACAGTCCCAGCACTGTGCACTCCTGAAGGGTAGAATAGCACCAGCAGGGCTTTGCTGCAGTCCAGTTTCACAACCTGTCGTATATTTCTAGTTAAAGGAATCTGGGTGAAGAAAACACAAGCTGTATTTAAGCAATAATACCTTCTGGGAATGTCTAGCAACAAGTGTTCTGAGGAAGGAGATGTGTCTCTGGCCCTTACCCTCACCAGTCAACAACTCCCAGGCTAAGTTAAAATAGCTGCCTTGAAAGTCATAATTGCTATTCTCAGCAGTACAATCCTTTTTTCTTCTTTTTTTTTAATGTACTTTTTAACATGCTGCAAAGTTAAACACGGCTTGCCTGTTACCATGGATATAATTTCATGTTTATAAGACTGGTCTTTCCTGGCAGCTAAATGCCTGCATGGGAACAAAAAGCAAAGTGGGATTTTGTTTGCCATTTGCTCCATTTATAATAATGGAGCAAACTACTTCCTCTATTAACAAGGTTTTGATTTTACTGGAGTTTCTCTAGGGACAGAGTTCCTCTCATTGGCATTAACACATTACAACTGATCCTCCAGCTTGTGTGAGCAGAGCCTTGAACTCAGGTGGCACTACTTATGAAATCAGGGCCACAGAATCAAGTCCCACCATGTCTACATATCTTCCATAACTGATATTAGACAGTATACAGTACACGAAAACATGTTACATCTCTGCCTGATGAAAAGTCCACTCCAAACCCAGAGTGCAGGGCTGAGCTAGAACTAACTTTTATTCAGAGTAAAACCATGATAAATTCTGACTAAACTCAGGCAGTGAAGTTAGGTTTTCCTTTGAGGAAAGGAGCAGTTTTATTCCACAGGGTCCCAGGAAAAAATCTCCCAAATAGAATTGCTAAATTCATTCATACCAATTTGAAATCAGCTGCATTTAAGCAGAAAGGCTAATGGAGTAAGAATAAAATCCAGACTGGCGGGAAGATGTTACCAGTTTAGAGCACCAAGTCTAAATGCCTCCGTCACATCCACACCTAATTATCCGTGCCCACATCTATTTACAAAACTGTCCATCCACTACTAGCCCTACTGAATGACTTCTGTGGCAAAAGTCACCTGCTCTTCAGTAGGACATTTCATCCCCCAGTGAATAAGCCCAGGAACAGCATTTGACTGCTCCTTGGTAACGTGTAGGATTGCAACAACTCAGCTGCTATTGCTAGAAGTTCTGAAAATAAGATGTAATTGCACAGACAAACAGGGATTACAGCACATTGTGCCCCTCCAAATCATGCAGCCAGAGTGTTTACCTGTGTCTGTGTGTCGCTGTCATGAAAAGTTCAATGTCTATTTCGGTATCAGAGATATGTATCAGTCAAACTTGACTTCAGCTTTTGAAGTGGGTGGAGAGCAACACCACCCCTTTCCTGTGCTGAAGTCTGCAGCAAAATTGCATTTTACTCACAAACATTTCTGTAGTTCTGTTGTGTTCTGACTTTTTAGAAAAATAATCTCATTGGACAGACACCACCAGCAAGTTTCTCCACTCTGCGGAGTGTCTTCACAGCCCTCCCACATAGTGAAAATGACTCAGACAAAACTACTAAATTTAGGGCATTGGTATTCTATGTGTTACGCTGGTGTTCATACAAGTAATGCCTTAAACAGTAAATTTCTGAATTAAGCATTCAGGCATCTCTTCTGTGCTGCATCTGCCACTGAAACAGAACGGCAATGAAGGTGGGCTGAGGAGGAGGTTATTTGGATCGTGATTCGGGTTGTGTTTTGGCTAGAGCTAAATGTGAATTTGAATGAGGTTTTCATATACTTTTAGAGATATCTATTGACCCGATATCTTGATGTTTGATCTCAAGCGATGAGATCATGCAAGATTAGCTGCCCTTGGGAGATTCCCTTCATCTCAGGCAAGAGACTGCAGGCTTTGACTCACAAATGGGGATGATTTCTCTCGGGATGACTAGACCAATTCCCATCTCTCAGCATCCAACTCACTGATCTCTCTGAGGTTCTCCTCCTGCAAGGATGGCTCACGAGGCAGCTGCTGAATTGCTGGTTGCAATTCCATGCAATCAATTAAATTGGTACTTCTGTAATTCAATATAAAACTACATAGAGTTCTTGCAATTTTATAATTAGCAGATCACTCTATGCTTCGCAAGCAACAGCCATCCCTGTAGCAAGGGCAAGGCATGCTGGAAGATAACAGTGGTGGCCTTTGTTTATCTGGACTTCTGTAAAGCCTTTGACAGAGTCCCATACACATCCTTCTCTTTAAACTGGAGCAATATGGATTTGATGGGTGGACTGTTCGGTGGATGAGGAATTGGCTGGATGGTCACATCCAGAGGGTAGTGATCAACGGTTCAACGTTGGGATGGACACCAGTTGCAAGTGGCGTCCCTCAGAAGTCCATACTGGGACCAGTATTGTTTAATATCTTCATCAGTGACATAGTGTGATTGAGTGTGCTGTCAGCAAGTTTGCAGATAACATGAAGCTGAGTGGTGCAGTTGACACACCTGAGGGATGGGAAGCTATCCAGAGGGACTTGAACAGACTCAAGAGGTCCAATGGGGCCCAGTGCAGGGTCCTGCACCTGGATCAGGGCAACCCTCAGTATCAATACAGACTGGGAGATGAAGGGATTGAGGGTGCCCCAGAGGAGAGGACCTGGGGGTACTGGTGGATGAAAGATTGGATGTGAACTGGCAATGTGCATTTGTGGCCCAGAAGGCAAATCATATCTTGGGCTGCATTCAAAGAAGCATGATTCTGACCCTCTGCTCTCGTGAGACTTCACCTGCAGTACTGTGGTCCAGTTCTGGAATCCTCAGTACAGGAAAGATACGGACCTGTTGGAGAGGGTCTAGAGAAAGACCACAAAAATTATCAGAGCACCGCCCCGATGAGGAAAGGCTGAGAGAGTTGGGGTTGTTCAGCCTGGAGGAGACTCCAGCAGACCTTATTGTGGCCTTTCAGTTCTTAAAAGGGGCCTATAAAAAAGATGAGGAAAGACTTTTTAGCAGGTCCTGCTGTGATAAGATGAGCGGTGATGCTTTTAAACTAAAAGAGGGAGATTCAGGCTGGACGTGAAGAAAAAATTCTTTACAATGAGGGTGGTAAAATACTGGAGTAGTATTTTACTGCAATATTACTGCCCAGAGAGGTGGTAGACGAACCATTCCTGGAGACATTCAAGGCTGGATGTGGTTCTGAGCAACCTGATCTAGTTGAAGTTATCCCTGCTCAGTGCAGGGGAATTGGACTAGATGACCTTTGAAAGTCCCTTCCAATCCAATGGTTCTATGATTCTGTGATTAAAGGCAAGAAGTTTTACAGCTATCACACACAAGCCAGGGCTTGGCAGAAAGATAGGCCGCGTGTTCACCACCCAGAAAAATGGACAGCAAGTCCCTGGCCATGGAGGGAGCAGTAGAAGCAATGAGAGGGACGGGACAAGAAGGGGCAAGTGTGAAAGAGGAGTGCTAAAGCATCTTCTTCATTCCTCCCTGCTTGCCTAAAATTGCCAACAAATCAGTGTGAGACCAAAGTCAGGCCAGAACCACACCAAGAGACCACACTCTCCTTCAGGCTGACCACACCATCTGCTGAAGCCAGCAAGAGTTTAGTGTGGGTATGTCAGGGCAGGACACAGAAGCAATGACTCACCTATGAAATGAACTTTGGCTCCTTATCTGTTTGCTAGAAGGGCATGGTTTTCTTAAATGTTTTGGGTTTTTTTTTAAACTGCTGAATAATCTTTACAAATATAGTTCATGATCTGTTACCCAATTAAAACCATGCAATTGCTAGGAGCAGTATGAGCTGTTTACACTGCACATTTCCATCCCATGCCCTTCCTTTGTTCCTCATCATTGAAGCATAACTTTCATAAAATTAGGTTCATGCAAAAACATTTTCACATAATCTGCAGAAATGCTTATGCTGGTCTGATGTGCAGCCTTTCAACCTGGGAAGCTGGGCAGCCTTGTCTAAAGTTCTGCAGAGCAGATAAAGAATAATTCTTTTCAGTACAACACAGAAGTCATACACCTGCCCCGAGGAACGTTTCTATGGTACAGTGTTTATCCTTGTCCTGACTTCCACCTGAGAAGCAGGGATCTCAAAAATCCCCCCAGTGTCTTAAAAATCCATGCCTAGAGGCGATCTGGAGAGATTATTTAATCTCTTCCCTTGCTCTAAGGCAGAATAAATAACTTAGATTACCTTTGAAAAATATTTGTCACCCTAGTTCTTGCAAGATTCAGTCAAGAAAATTCTGCTTTCACCCTTAAATAACCTGTACTGTGATCTTACTTGTGCAATTAGAACACTTTTCCTAATGCTTGAGGTTTGTCTCTTTACCTTATCACCTCATTAGGTTATTTATCCAGCCAGGCAACTTGACTGGGTCAAATTAGCCAGTCTTATCACCCACATTTTGACTGGTAACCTAGTCAGGGAATATAATGAAAGATGATGCTGAAAGCCAAGATCCAGAGATATATCAAGATTGAAAGAGTATCTGTATGATATCTGCTGCATACTGACAGGCATACTTTGATAGGCTGAGAAAATAGGGGCTGTTCAGCCTGGAGAAGAGAAGGCTGCGTGGAGACCTCATAGCAGCCTTTCAGTATCTGAAGGGGGCCTACAGGGATGCTGGAGAGGGACTGTTCACTAGGGACTGCAGTGATAGGACAAGGGGCAATGGGTTAAAACTTAAACAGGGGAAGTTTAGATTGGATATAAGGAAGAAGTTCTTTCCTGTAAGGGTGGTGAGGCACTGGAATGGGTTGCCCAGGGAAGTTGTGAATGCTCCATCCCTGGCAGTGTTCAAGGCCAGATTGGACAGAGCCTTGGGTGGCTTGGTTTAGTGGGAGGTGTCCCTGCCCATGGCAGGGGGTTGAAACTAGATGATCTTAAGGTCCTTTCCAACCCTAACTATTCTACGGTTCTACTCTTTTCTTTTCTTTTTTTTTTTCCTTATCAAGCTGCCCTATAAACTGGAAAATTACATTAGTTTAAAAGGCAGATGTCCCCTCCTTGGAAACATTCATGGTGAGGTTAGATGGGGCTCTGGGCACCCAGATCTAGCT